TGCATTTCAGCTTATTAAATAAGTAGAAAGCATACTGTAGTTTACTGGGCTTTCTGATTTTGATTTAGTATCTTTGGCTTTTCAACAAATCACGTAGTTTGTGGAGAATTGATTTCAAATTTCAATGTTTTAAAACTAAGTTTTAACAGAAACTCACATGTTTCAAACGTGCAGTACTGTTGATCCTCTTAAAAAAATGAACTGAATTGTGATTGGTGAAATGTGTTTCAATTAGATTGGAAACCAAAAACTCTCCAGCCACAACTGTCACTTTGAATTCTTTGACTTATCCTAAGGTACTCCAAAGTTTAGTAAATTTTAGTATACATCGGTATTCTTTCTTATGTATTGTAGAATGCACGCTTTTTGAAGGCGTGGTGACATAAGATCGTAGACCGAAATACAAACAATTACACAAATAACCACATGTCTATAAACTGAAGACACAACGCTTGCTTTGCTGGTCAATGATATGCTTGATATGGCTAATACCTTGTGAAATAATTTTTTGGTATATAAGAAGTCATATCTGACATACAATAATTATATTTGGAATATGTTTTGAAAATGGTGTATGTCTATAAACTGAAAAGCCAAGACATTTCAGTTATCACATCCGGAAGACGTTTGTTCCAAATCAACTAACTTGATTTATATCTCCAACGATTTTTATTAATAATATGACCTTCCTTTTTACATAAAAGCAAACTTGAAGGTCATATGTACATCACAAGCATCAACGTGAAAGTTTGCAAATCTACTACCGAGGTAATCATACCTTATAAAAATATGTTATGGTTATAAACATAAGGTATGTTACATAAGCAAATATGGTGATAGAATTCGCTAAAAACAACAAGAGATATATATCTAATATAATCATATATCCACATTGATTTTCTGCAGAAAAAGATGAAGAATTGCATAACCATCTAGCACGGAAAGTTATCTACCATAACCTGCAACACCGATTACAATTGCTTAAATGTCTTGAAGAACATGCTAAACAGAAGACATCATCTTTGTATCTCATCATCCTCATCGCACTTGGCAGCATTTTTTATTTTGTGTAAGTTTGAATGTCTAATTCCTCATTGACTGGCAATAAAAATTTGTCAAGTTCCACTGAAAGATGTTCAGAATCTAAGATCCAAACTTTTAGTGATGTCATGACAAAAAGGCCAACTGATACTTTTTAAATTTGCAGAGTGTGGTGACCTATCATGAAGCAAGAACCAATGACAATTTTTCTTTTGAAACTTTTTTGTTTAAAAATTTAATAAGAGTTGTCAACATTTTAATGAATGTGATCTCATATCATGTTGATCGTCAGTCTAGTTCGCTCTGTGTTCAAATGCATCTACATTGCCTTGCAAAATCATCTTTCTTCTGTTGTTTGTAGACTCAAGAGCCACGAATATGGTATTTAGTGTCTCACACAACGTTCACAACAATTTATCGTCAAAGCTCTCCTCTTTTTATAATTTACTTAGAGATGCAAGACATAGTGAGTCCATCTACTCCGTGTCCTTTCTTACCGTAAGTAGCGTTATATGTCGTGGAGATGACATGCATTATATCATAACTATATATGGTTTGAGTTATTCATGTTATTGTTGATGACAATAAGGTTATTGTTTAATATGTGGTGACTATCATCCTCTTCAATGGGTAATAATCATTTCTTTCAGTGAGCAACATCTTCGACGAGTATAAAATTATCAATTTTATAAATTATTTAGTCTCTCATATTTCTACTATATCATTTGATTCAATGTGTAATGAGTGTCAAATAAATCACTTGGTGAAATCAAATCTCACCTACAATGGGTGATTTTTGACCCACTTATACCCACAGTAGGTAATCATGTGCACCTCGCACCCATGTATTGTCCGTTGCAAATAATGTTGGGCACGCGAAAAGGACACTTATGGATAGACTTCCTAAGGCAACAATGGACAGGTTAACCGACCTGTACTCCAGAGTCTACTTATCTAGCCTCGGGGGTTCTCTACGGAGTTACGTAACCGTAGTTGAGAAAGCAAATGCCTCTGACTCCGGTAGATTGGGTTTACTCCGACCCGACTTAACCCCAGTAACAGCTGGCAGATGTAGAGTTAGGTCTATCGTGTTAACTGACCACTCTTTCGCAGGGCGGCAAATTATGAATGGTGACGCGAGAGGCGGCTGAGACCCGCCGCTTCCGCGAAGGACGACGGCCGGACGGACGGACGGATGGACGGGCGGGCGAAGCAAATAGCCGAATCCATAAAGTCAAGCTCGGAACTTGGCGGACATGCAACGTCCTCGTCTTTAGGACATGGCTGTACTCAAGTGCAAGTCAGAGGGAAGCGAGAGAAGCGGAGTCGAGGTGGACCGGAACTTGGCGGGCATGCAAGCAAATCTTCGGGCCTGGGATCCGGGCAGAGTCGCAGACCCCTCCACTGGGAGTCGGTGACCGACTCACGCCCGCCTCTGGGTGCCGGCACCAAGTACCTCCTGTGTACCTCCTGTGTACGGTCCTGTCCAATGACCTCCCGTGTCCGGTTCCTTTCCCGGCAGGAAGCAACTGCGAAGGAATTTGCGCCACCACTTTTCCCAGCTTATCTCCGAACTTATTGGCTGGAGCTTTGCTTTAGCTTTAGCTTTAGCCTCTCGACAAAGGCGGAAAGTACTTTCACGGTCGTACGGAGTGGCAGGCCTTCTGGGATTCTTCCTAGCGGCTTCACCCGACCTCAGTTCGTTGGGACTGCTGGGCGGGAAAGTGAGTCATCGCGTCGCGATGTGGGATGGTTTCCCGGCATCTCGTTGAGTTCAGGTGCACCGGAATTAAACCTACGGAATTAAAGGTGCGTCTAAGTGGCGAGCAATAGACCGAAGTCATGGCAATTTCTCCGCGTCTGATTTTCATTTAAAGGTATGTCTTCGAGCGAGTAGGCTGAAATCATGACGTTGGTGTTCCGGTACTACACTCATGGCTGATCACCATAGTCACTGAGGATGCTATTTGAAAACAGAGGCCATGGGAAGACCCCATCAATTCCTGCAAGGATGACACCAAATGGGTAGGTCCATGAAACCGAAGAAGGGCATCTAGTCCCAAAATGCAGACAAACATCAGACGAAGTTGTGGAAGTCTTTAGCCATTTGCATGTGGCCTATAGAGCATGTCAAGTCAAGCGGGTGGAAATGCGACCCTTGAGAAAATGCAAGAATGGATACCTGCTGGCATTTTAAGCTTTTATCTCCAGTAAAGATTCGTGTGGTGAATTTACGTTCTAACAGGATTGAAGTATTAGGTGATGATTTTTAAAAAACTATTGGTCACAGAAACAAGACGAAACATGAAGGTTAGTTAGTTAGGGTCTGGGTCTTCATTGATGATATAATAGGGTATACACTGTTATGACAAATATAACGCATGTGAAAATATGTCATGAGCCCATAGTAACTTGAATTCCTTTGTCGAAAATATAATACAATACCCGAGAATCGTGGAGTATCAGCATGTAAAGTTACACACTTTATGTATAAACCAAATCAACCTTTATAAAAATTAAAAATGTAGGGTGTTCATTATTATGCCACATGTGAAGCATCGTGTATACTCAAATGCACAATTTTTTTTGGTACAAAATTGAATGATTTTGTGATGTCAGTATAATAAGATATTATAATCGTATCATTCAAATGGTTTAACATTTACAAATTAAATTATACATTGTTATGAGATCACGAAATTGACATTTGATCTTCATCTTGGTCTGACAAGTAATGTATAAGAATATTACTCCAAATAATGCATTGGATGTGTGTGCTGCTATAGTTTGAAATAATTATGTCGTTTGATTTTGGAACCGAAAAGACAATTCAACACATATATAAGAAAATTTGGTGAAGATGTACTTCTTCTCTTTATATTATCAAAACTCATTGAAGGAATAAATTGGATTATGAAGTGTTATGACATATTTCTGTTGTCTATTTATTGAGTAGGATGGACTTTATTCTAAATGGTTGAGTATTTTCATTGGGCATCTCACTCGTTTCTTCCATTGGTAACATAACTTGTTTACCAAAAGGTTATATTCATTGCTCTATGATATGTGTATAAATTTTCTCTTGTCTCATTGAAATATAAAGAATTAAAATTAATAGAAAAGTCAATAATTCTCCTACATTTTTAAAAAATTATTACACTTTAAGGTTCATACAATAGTAAATTTAGGTAAAAGCGTTTCACATCAAGCAGATAACATGAATCTCTGGCGTGACAGGTTGACTATGAAATAATCTAAAGTGAGTGTCCTACTATATTGAATAGATTAATACTTCAATTCTAAAAAGGGATCTTAAAATCCAATCTCACCCTTTTTCATTAGAATCTTACTATTATTTACCCACCAGTGATGATTTAATTTTCAGATATAGATATAAATATATTTATATTTTTATATCAGAGCTGAAAAAGAAGAGATATCCATAAAAAGCTTTTTGCACTCAAAATTTTATTATCAGATAATTATAAAACTAACTTCTTGGTCTTCAATTGTATATTGTTTTTTTATTATGTTTCTTCAGTTATATTAATAGAAATGGTTATCTGTCTCAGTTACCAATATTAAGGGGTTATTTTTTGATCTATCGGTTTTTAGTAAGTTTTGTCATTTCAAACTCTCACATTCTTTTGCTGCTTAATATAAATGTTGTCCATATTCCATGAACTCTTGCGTGCACAATGAAATCTTATTAACTTGATTAAAGTAGAGTAAAGTTAAGTATAGCATTTTATACTGACCGAATTAGAGTGATAGAATCTGAAGGGTCACTTATCTGACTCTTCATGCTCCAAGAGCCGCAATCAAACACCTTCTGCACATCGAGCAATGCTCCAGTTTCTCCAACTTCTATGTGAGATATTTCCGACCCTGCGACATTGGATTGCTTTTGCAAGTAAAACCTTATTCGTCAGTACAAACTTGGATTAGGTTTATTGTCATAAATAGTTAAAGAGAACAAACTGTGTTAACAGCAGTTAACTGAGGGGGGGTTTAGAGACTAAGAGGTACATATCAAGGAGACTACCTTTTGACGAGTTCTTCAAGCGCTCAAACTACTAGATGAGATATTTTGCGTCCCATTGGATAAATGTGCAGGAATGTGTAATCTCCAAGAAAGCTTAACAGATATCACACATCATAAATGTTTCTAAAGTAGATACTTAACTTCGATACCCATCCATATATGTAATCGGAGATGATTGACGCTTGGCTTCTTAACATTGATCGACATAACAGTACGTCTATGATTCTAGGTCATACCAAGCTCAATCGTACCTTATTATGCAGGAATGGACGTTTGGTGTTCATGGAGCTGATCGAGGATTTGTCAAGTGTTGTGGTCAAGTAGGAAATATCACATACCTCGATGACCTTTTCACTAATTCCTGGCGATGAAACACCTCGATGCTGATGATGCTTTGCTTCGAAGCTCCGAGGTGATTGGACTCCCACAACGAGTACTTGTCCGAGTAAGAACGTGTGACGTTCCCAATGAATTAAACAAGAATCAATTCTGTGCTTGCTCCCAAAGATTAGGGCACCTTTCTTAGCACGAAATTTGAAACTTCTGATGGGGAGGTGGTGCATAGATCTACGCTAATGCATGTTGGTGACCAAAAATTTGTAGATTCCATTAGAAAATCCAAAACTTAAATAAAAATTCCTCCTTCTCCGCTGCCAGTCCCATCTTCCCTGGAATCTAGTGAGCGTTTCCTACAAAGAGAGTCATGTCGAATCGAAGACCGTAAAGAGTCGATGTGGGTCTTCTTGCTAATCCGGCTTTTGAGCAAGGGCGGTTCCAAACCTACGATGAACAATGGACAAGAAGAACAGACTACCTTTGCCCCTATGGTCTTGAAATTGTGTGGCTCAAGAGAACGGCATCATGTCATGTTTTGCTTTACATTTCTCATTTAGGTCACTCTGCCGACACTGAAATCGTACCACAACTCTAGTGCTGACGAAATGGCCACACTCTAGAAAGAATCTGATCGATTGAGCTATCGCCCCAGCACAGAAACCGAAGGGCTAGCTCTATGTCTTTCCGACTTACTCAAGCTTGGGCCGAAAGCGTTTCATTTTACCAGACACCGGCCAACGAAGCCAATGAAAATCAGCGAAGAAATAAAGATATTTATATTCAAATACCAAAACGTAGGGAGAAAAACTCATTATTCTCTTGGCATTTCTTCAAGGAACGAACTTCAGTCGACCGGTTCACATGGTCTCAAATGAAATTACTGTAGACGAGTTTGACCATGGGAGTTTGCGATACCTACATGTGTTAAAGAAGTCGTGACCCGCGGACGATGATGCCGAGACCCAAACTTCAATTGGACTGAAAGGGCCGCTGACGCGCATTTCTTCATGCTAAGCCCTACTCCCTTTTCATAAACAACGTGCTCGAAGGCAGCCCGCCGTCTACATCTACGGAATTAGAAGTGGTGTCCGCTGGGCCATACCACGAACGAATTTCGAAAGGTTGCAGCTCGGAGCAACAACGTGCTCTATTCGGCCGTCGATGCAAGCCAATTGCACGCCATAGAATCAGCGGGCCAATTTCTTCGAACCTCTTCTCCTCCCTCCACATGTCGTCCCTACATTACACCGAGTCCGCGATCGGATCCAATTTGAAGTGAATCTCAGACTCGACTCGTGCTCGTCCTCCGCTTCTTCTTCTTCTTCTTCAATTGGGTGGAGAATTGGAAGTCGCCCATTCTTTCTTCGATGCCCGAACCGAAGTCTTCGGTCTCGACGGCCTTCCATGTCTTTTGAGGCACTAGGGCTCTGTAATATTTATTTAACGAGCCGATATTCTCTGATCACGTTTTTCCTGCTTTTTTCCGCTTCCATGTTTTCCGCTGATTAAATAAAATAATTAAATTTCGGACGAATTTCGTTTCCCCCTCGTGCTTCGTTGGTGACGTCTCATTCTCGTCCGAAGGCCTTCGTAATTTACGTGGTACAACGAAGCCGTGCTCGGTGGACAAGACGCGTCAATGAAGATAACTTAGTTGTTGCGAGATTAATCTCGCGGTTGATGTCAACTACTTATATGGATTGTATCGATACCCATGTAAAACTCGATGAATTTACTTTGAGAGGGAAAAGGTTGAAGAGAATAATCGGGGTGGGGTTTACATGAAGTCCAGGCACGAAATTTCGTTAACCATTTAGGGATAAAGTTCAACAGTTTTTGAAGTTTATCCACAACAAAAGGATATCTCGAGCCTTAGGAAGATCATATTGAGACATGTTCGATGAATTTCGTTATTTGGAAGTAGAATTGTTGTAAGAGTGTGCCATTGACTCAGAACTGAAAATAATCTTCCTTGTTCATTTCGAAAGGCGATGAAGCCAGAGATGTCAGAATCTAAAGAGTAATATAAATTATCAGGAGAGATTTGCTTGATGGGACCCCCGCGGAAAGTAATTTGCTTGATGGGACCCCTCAGGTTTAGTTTTACCCGATGGGACCCCAATGACAGTGTGCCGTCGGAAATAGTTCTTGTAACTACGATTACTACTAATTATAATGCGGAAATTACAATAAGAGATCAATCCCTGATTATAATTTCTGGTGGATTATCACGGGAACAAAGATCGATTTTGCTCGAAGTGCAATTTGTTGTGCTTCAATTCTTCCAATCGCAAAGATTCGCGGATTTCTCTGTTGCCTCCCACCTGCACACTCCATCCGTAACCCTGCGTGGTCCGAGCTCAAGTCTCTATACAGATATAGAATAACAACATAAAAACAAGTGAGTGTGATGGTGTGCGAAGTTTACTCTTTCTGCGGGTGCGGTGGACTCGTTACACTCTCTCTAGTTGTTATTAGAACATGGGTGACGGTGCATCGTTCATGGGGTGCCATAGGGTAAAATGAAACCTGAAGAGTCCCATCAAGCAAATTACTTTCCGCATGGATCCCATCAAGCAAAACTCTCAAATTATCAGTAATAAACCAAAGTAGTAAGGGTGGTATAAGCATTCAGGGAATACACATTAGACGTTTTTTGACGTTTTAGCTTCTTAACAGATGTTGAAATCATTGTCCTTTCTCACAGACTTCCAGATGCATTTATTCATGGAAAACATGAAATTGAACTATTTATGGATACAAGAGAAAATAATGCTTCAGTGCTTTGCTAAATTGAATCAATATAAGATGGGGTTTAAAAGTGAGAAATAACCTCGTTATTTTATCATTAAGACAATAATCCAATAAGTGAAATTCTCAAATCTATCTGAAGTAATGGAATTAATAATAAAGTATCAAGTTTGTTATTTTCTGAAGCCGTTGAGATATGAACTCATTATCGGTGTAAGAGACATGTCTTCAGCGCACACAAGAACATAGGTACTAGTGGAATAGTGCAAGTATTACTCTTTCTCCTCTTGAAAAATGCCAATGTAAGTCTTAATTATAAGTGCCATAAATTTGAAGAAAAGGCGGTAACAGCTTTGAACAGCCACAACAGCTAGTCACCACAACGTGATCCGGCCTCTACTGTAATGTACCCCGCTCCGTTATCTCTGAAAAGTAAAGTCCACCAGATTCGAGTATTGTGCCTTCAACGTGATTTCATGTTGTCAATGCTCTTACTCGGTTGTTGTGACAAGAACGAGTCGTGCTGCCAAAGATTACGAGAGTCAATCTTTGTCGTTTAATACTACGGAGCTATACGACTGTACAGTATAGTACTGTCATCGATTACATGGCAACTTCCACAGAGATTCGCCCTGGGCACAGTAAGGAGCTAACGTGGTTGCGGTGACATGTACAGTAATGGTCTACCTCCAGCACAGTAGAGTAGTGACCGGTTGGTCAAAACTTGCAGCATGATTCTTTATTACAGTACAAAACGAGCAGCCATAGCCTACCACAATATAATGTATTTTTATCTATTCATTAACCACTTGAGGGTTTTACACATTTATCGTGGCGGTATATCCAAATCACGCGAATTCGCGATACCTTGCCTCGGTAAGATATATGGCTCTTTCCTTGTGAATTTCGTTGGTACTGTATTTTTGGAAATCGAGCATTCCCACCCTCATCACCTTAACGGTTAAGGCTTAACCGCATCAGAGTATCGCGTGGACCATGGTTGACCATTTTCACGTGGTTCTAAGTTGACGTAGTTGTGCATTTTTACGTGGTAAGAAGTGGAGAACCAAGTGGAGTGGCAAACATGATTGTGAGAGCGACCGATCAGATGAGTTAGTACATGGACGAAACGGGTACGATGTGGCTAGGTGCCAGTAGCATGACAAGATGTCCGACTGCGCCGTGGTAACAACAGGCACCTGTACCGATGTGATTCCGGTGGTACCTGAAAGTACTGGAGGTACTGAATATTTTACGGAACAGTATATCTCGCACTCATGTTCGTTTCGAGGCAAGGGAAAGACATCTCGCTTCATTCACAACACAAGGCGCAACGTGCGTGCAGGCGAGTGACAGTGAGTACAGGCGTGTACGCGGTTGTCGCAGCTGCTACAGCGTAACCAAAGCCGTGGATCGTGTACTGGAAGGTACTGAGTCTGTACCAGTTATCATACGGTTGGAATTAGCGAATGTTGAAGAAGTCTGAAGGATGGGATGGGAAAGGAATGATGGGAGATAAAGTCGTTCTCGTCCTCGTCCTCGTCGTGGTGGATATTCAGATTTTACTTTTACTCGATGTGCTTGATTGCTTGCTTACTGTCGAGCCTAGAGCCTCGAAAGGCCTCTGTTCGTTCTGGCAGGAGACGGGTGGGAGGCCCGGAAGGCCGTTGCGATGCTTTTCTCCGAGGCGGCCTGAACAACTTTTGTACAGTCACAAGGAGTACCTTGCAGTACTGGAAGGTACTACGGAATCACATGAATATGTGTCCGTCCTTCATTTGAGACTGACTCAACAACTTAATTTCATGGCATGTGAGTACAATGATGACTGTGACAAATATCTCACAAAGTGAAACCTCTCGTGGGAGTCAAACCAGTGGAAGGCCTCCCGCCCAAGCTCGGACTTGTCCTGACTCCACCTCTCGTTGAAGTTTCGACTCACCTTTCGACGCAGTGCGTACCTTTGTCGCATACAGAAACTCGAGTATGAGACTGTGCCCAAGCCTTCGGGTTGCAGTTTGTGGTTCATGGGAAGTGACGCTTAATTGTTGACTTGATTAAGAGTGAGAGAGGATGCATGCTAATTCAAGGGTCGGATGGAAGGATGGAAGGAAGGAAGGAAGGAGGGAGGAGGGAGGACGATCGAGGTCAAGTGACGGAATATCCACTCCATGTTTCCCGTGGTTAGCCTCGTGATTTGGAGGCGACGCGGATTTAAGCTGGTCGATTGTCTGGTGTGTACGGCGCACTCATACCCGTGCAGTCAAACAGGGGCTGTGTGACCCGTTGAGTTCGAAAAAACCCGGTTGGGAGCTCATGCCGTCCGCCTCGGATCCATCCATCGTGCACTGGCCGGGCCTGAATTAAGTGGAACCGAGTGCAGCAATCTCGAAGAGTTTCAAGCTCGATGCAGAAGTTGCGAGTTCCCTACGTTTTGTCGATGGGTTTGTCCTGGTCAATGAGAGGTTCTTCTCGGGGTGTTTTGGAGACGGTTCTTAGCGGTACCAGCTCACGAGCCATCGCACACGGATTGACTCTGCGTGCTCGCAATGTGTTTCTTCGAGCTCAGTACTCGCTTCGAAAATTCCAGAGGTTTTCGTTTTTCGATGGCCTGGATCGGTGTCTTTTGTCGAAGAGTCAGCCGTTTTGCAGCATCCGAGGTGTGAGTTCCTTCGGAGCTCTGTCTCCTGCTGTGTATTCGTTTACCTGCAAGTATAACAACCTTCACAACCTCCGACGTTCAAGTTGTACTTAAACCCACCCCGTTTGTATAAAAAATGGATTGTGCCATTGGAACAGGGAGATGTCAGGAGTGTAATCCAAAATTCTGATTTAACATATTTGGACTCCGAGCACTAGCTGCCAGCTTACAAATCGGCCTTGCTCTAGTGCACGAGTGTCTGAAGAGCATATAACATCCAAATGTGAACATGAAGCAATGGGATTCAACCTCTATTTGGTTTTTGCTCTTTAGATTCTCTGTTGACTTGTCATGGTCTTTGATGGATGTCTATGGAATTTCATCTCTTAGCTTGCCTTCTATGCTAAGAAGAGTATATGTGATAGAACCGTGTAGGAGTGTGAGCTCCCAAAGTTATGTCTGTACAGAGGTTTAAAGGTCACTCAAAGCTGGTAGTTAGCATGGGCAACAAATTGACCCACTTGGCCTTGAGCAGCTCATGGTTCATCGGTGTGGGAAGTGGAGACAGGGGCAAGTTTTAGTGGGCTCGTTAAGTTGCACCTTTTTGCACACTACGAATCTCCGCATCCCCCAAACAGTGAGATCAAGGAGTAGATAGAGCGGTTGTGACAGAATCTCACCACCTCTATATTCATCGTTCCAAACATCAGTATAATATTATTTTATGCCCCTTGTATAATGCTCTTCTATCTTGAGCATGACAAGAAGATGTACCTGTGATTCACAACAAAACCCCCCTTGCTTTGTGGGCACTAAAGCAGTTTGCAAGATGCTTCACCGGTTTTGATTAAAGTTGTAACAATTTTACGCCCGCTTAATAGGTCTTCCAAGATCTTAATACAACTGGAAAGTTCGAGCTACCGAAAAATCCATAAGCTTCGGTGTATCGAGACTGACAAGAACTGGTTTTGAAATATGCTAGAAAAAAGAAGGTGGAGTTCGTTGTGCTTCAGGAGAAAAATAGTGTTACGTACCCCCGTGCACTGGCCCTTGACAAATACACAGTTATACACAGATTCTGAAAAGAGTGCTTACTATTGCAACTACCTGGTTCCCTTGCTTCAGTGCTTCATAAAGATACTAGAATTATATCTATAAGTTACAAGCAGTTAACTAGCCACTACACAGTGCATGATTTTTCTGTTTTGATGGAGAATGCCAAAAAAATATAAGCTCTAATGGATGTATGGATTAGAGATTTTTTGCCTCAGATCAATGAGTAGGTAGCAGTACCATGCAGAACTTTCAGGATTTTTGAATAAACTTTGGTGAGTGTATTTTCCTTGGTTGGGATTCTTCTTTTCCCTGTAGAAGCAACATGCGCCTTTCTTCATTTTTTAGCCACCCGTAGGTAAACAAGGATAAGCAAGGACCTCAAGGTGCCATGCAAAGGTGCACTGGGCAATTGTTTTAAATTCCTTGTCCATGTTCCTGGTCCTGAAAAAGCGGTTCATAATCGTCGTTGTCTCCTTGCTCGCGGTATTGGCCCGGTGGTATTTGCAAGTACATCGATCCTTTTCGTTTTTTGCAGCATGTCGCAAATGTTCCAGTTTGTACTCAATAACTTAACAATGTAGGACTGTGCCATAGAAAAAACAATGGAGACCAGATATTTCCGGCTTCCCACTGTACACAAGGATTGGACCTCCTCTCCCCATCCTACAAATAGTTGAGAAGTTCTTTCCTTGCATGGAAATAGTACCGGGTTTGCATTTATATATCACATTATACTTTCATGCAGTTATAGGTTTCAAGTGTTTTCTTTCATGATAAAGACGAGTCGAAGTGATAAGTTGTATCATCACACATGGAACAGTGAAGCTCAATTTATTCTCCAGTGATATCAGAGTGAAGTATTTTAATCCAGATCGATCATATTTGAAAAAGAAGCTTCCCATACTACCACGAAATATGCAGTGCGATGATGATTGACATCGTATGCCTCACATGTACAAGACATTGGTACGCATTTAAGTCCATGAAGGTTAGGAGTGATATAAACTTGATTCCAAAAACAAATATGAACTCATAATAACATGTGAAAATAACTCATATTACACAGTACACATATTTTTTATAGATAAAATCATCTTTATGGATGAGCGGAGAGTATGACTGCAACAACCAATACCTCAAAATGCAAGAGTATATAAAGATGTCAGCTCTTTACTCTTGTACATTAGAGTTATTTTTGATTTTAGAGTTATGTTAAACATATTATTGAGGCAGTGCGCAAATATCTTTCATGCTAGTTAACGAGAGTTTCATTCTTTCTAGCATGTTGTGTACATTATTTGAGTAGACATGAAACTATTACATCTTAGGGAGCATCTTTTGTACAACATAAGATAGCAATCTGATGGTAATATTATTTACAAAGTATTTGGCGTAAAAAAATTGGCTATTCTAGACGCAGTAGCATGTATGTTCATTTCCATCGTGATATAAGTGAACCCAGCTTTCTGGTAACTAACTTTTATTCCTTGTAGTCTTTTCATCGTTTTTGCCATCCACTTATCTCGTGCTACATGAAGGCTATAGGGACAATGCGACGCGGTACAATTCCATATGACTTTCACAGAAACCAATCTTTGTGGACTCGGTGACTTTGGTTACTTTCATTTTTACGTTACATCCATCGTGAAATTTTGGGGCTGATTATCGCGAACATGGAAGCCAGATGAGGTGCTCTGTGCAAGTTATTTGCACCGGAAGCAAAGTAGAAGTGGCCTACATTTACTTCCCACACGCAAGGAGGCATATCACCATAGATTTTATGCTCGCCCTCCTCCCTCCAACACATGGTTAGAGTTCAAAATCACCCTTTGTCTTTTTTTTCCAAAGAATCGGGAACCACAAGGGAACGCCAATGAGAAGAAAGCAAAGGATATGGTTAGTATTAGTGACCACACCGGGAAACCAGTAAAACAATACTGGTAACTGTTTTCGCTTTCCGTGAACTCGAACCTCGAATTATACGAAGTTACCGTCCGAGGATGAACCAAGTCCAAAACATTCGACCGAGTACAGCTTTTAATCCCCAGAGAATTTTGGAGCCAAAACTGCAACCGTGACGACTCGATTTACGGCGGTAAGAAAATCAGGGAGACCAAAGGGACATTGATAAAAATGGAACGCGGCTCCCGCGAGAGGAGGGGGTCAAAAGTGAAACCGAGGGCTGGGTAAACCCGCGTGAACCCGACCAGACTGCGACGCAGTAGACCGAGGGTAACTTCAACCGACCCCGAGGTCGGAAAGGCGGCTGGTAACAGTCGGCGACTTACCGGAGGAGGAGCTCGGAACATTGCCGGGGGGCCAAAAGGCGGCACACGGTGAACCCGGACGGGCAGTCGAGCCTCCGCGAGGCGGTAAAATAGAGGCCCATTCCCAAGCTGCCGGAGGACGCGGCCACGTGGCAGGCGAAAGCCCGGCGAAGGAATTCCGCCCCGGAACCCCGAGCGCGTGCCTCGGGTCGGCCCCCGCCGCGGGGGCCCGGCCTAACCCAGCCCAGCCCAGCCCAGCCCGGCCCGGCCGGGCAGGGGCTGGGCTGCTCGCTCGACCCCGCCGAGGGCCAAACTGGCGGACCTCCCCATCCCTGCCGCCAACGTCTGCTTGCCGCCTCGGCCCATTTCTTCTTCTTCCTCCTCCTCCTCTTCTTCTTCTGCTTCGTCGTCGTCGTCGTCGGTCTGGTCCGGCCTGGTCTCCGAGCTGCAGCTGCTGCTGCTGCACTCTTTACTGCTGCCATAAAGATGTGGGGCACTGGGCCAGATGCAACCTGCCCGCCTGCCCCCCCGATACCCATCTATCCATCTCTCTCTCACGCACACACACACACTCTCTCTCTCTCTCTCTCATCAATCGACCCTGCCCCCCCGCCAACCAAGCCTGCCTGCCTGCCTGCCTGCCTGCTTCTGCCTGTGGCGGTCTCTGTCTCTGTCTGTGTCCCACTCCCCCCCTCTCTATCTGTCTGAGAACATTTCGCCTTCCTATATAAAATTCTGTGGCTTGTGGTCAAGCATTCAGTCGATCGCCACATCCTCAAGCGACTTCTCTCCTGTCTGTGAATATCTCACTCTCTATCTCTCCCTCTCTCTCACACTCTGTGTCCCTCTCTCTCTCTCTCGCAGTCTATCTCCTACTCTCTCTCACTCACTCTCGCACACTCCTCTCTCTGCGGGTGTCTTATGTTCTCGGACTCGGAATAGTTTTGTCGAGAGCTATCGAAGCGGGCTGCGCCAACTGGAGGAGGATCGGGCCGATTGGACTGCGGTCGTAGAAGATTGAAGGTTCATGGTGTGTGAGAAGGGTCAGTGTAGAGAGCTTGAGTGTATGAAGGGCGTCGATCGCAGAACTAGTCGTCGGGGATCGAAGGTCGGAGGTTTGTAGCCTTTGCGCCCGAGTGCGGATCGCGTCGTGGTGTGAAGCGGTTCGCTTCAGTCTTCTTCCCGAGGTTCAGAGACGTTTGTGCTGTCACCATGGTGCTAGGAAAGATGCCGAGGAGCACCTCGAAGCTAGTCAAGAGGATACAGGGATTGACGAGTCCGAAGAAGGCGAATTCGGAGCTGGGCCATTCCAAGAGGGTGGCGTTCTCGCAGCTGCCGGAGTCCGCGCAGTGGGCTCTGCTCACGGGCAGAGCCGGAGGCATGTCCAAGTCGTCCAAGTTAGGCAGGCTTCCGCAGGACATTCCGCAAGGATGCCTGGCCGTGTACGTGGGGCTCGAGAGGAGGCGGTACGTCATCAGCACCAACTTCCTCGCGCACTCGCTCTTTAAAGAATTGCTCAAGCGATCGGAGGAGGAGTTCGGGTTCGAGTACGAGGGCGGGCTCAACATTGCCTGCGACTGCTCGCTCTTCGAGAACGTGCTGTGGATGATCGCCACCAAGGATCCCGCCGCGCGGACCACGAAACTGGACGAGGTCATCGACATGCTGGAGAGCTCGTTCTGAAGCCGCTCGCCCTCCGCGCGAACTCAACGACGGAGACGACGAAGAGGAAGACAGTAGTCGCTTGCTTGCACTGAAGTTAGATTTTGCCCCTGCTCGCTCGTGCTGGTGCGGCGCACGCACTCTCGACGCTGGCCGCGACAAGATATCGCTCCGCCGCGGACCGACCGACCATCGCGCGCAATCCCTCCTCCGTCACATCGCTCGACGGCAAGAATGCGCGCACACAGCTCTTCACGCGCACATTGGTTCTCTTCCGCGGCGGAGCTCGGTTTCCGACGATGGCCTTGCCTTCCGCCCCTCGAGAAGGTGCTCAAGGCCTGTGAAATTCGCCGGGCCAGCAGCTCGAGCTTCACCAGCAGCACCCCCGGAATGCAGCAGCAGACTCGAGAAAGACGAAATCCAAGCGAGGGTGCTGAGGGAAATCCCGCCGCTGCCAATCCCAGCGACGTCCCGATTCCAGCACCCGTCCACTGGCGGAGAGTCAACTGCTCGCTCGCTCGCTCGATCGAGCGGGCCACGCCCAAGCACGCAACGGGTGCCCGAACTGCACTTACACCCCGGGAGCAGACATTCATCGACGTTCAGACTTGTCTTGTTCCACAAACGGCTACAAGCGGCTTCGGATACGAGGAGCTCGGTCGGGAATATGTATGTCCATAGTTTACGACGGATCGCGCTACGAATTTAATTAATTAACTAGATGCGGGTTTCCGAGGGATGTTCAGAGTCCCGTTAGATTATTACACAGCAGCTTTAGAGCTTACGGTCTTGCCTCTTGCCAGCTTTGATGAGAGTTTTAGAGAGAGACAGAGAGAGATGGAGAGGGAGAGGTGATTAGAGTATGTCTGAGAAGCACCGGCTGCTCCAATGCGCAGACGGTGCTCCAGCCACACCTCGGGCACGGCCTTCTTCTTGTACAGATACGAGACTTGTGGAGTTTCTCTCTGCGGTCTCAGTCCCCAAAATGAAAATCTTACCAGTAACAGCTTTCAGTGTTCAAAGCAACATTCATCGAGATTTCATGGCTTGCTGCTCGATGTGGATCGTGTCGAATCTGTATGCATTCGGCGGTTTTTGCATAACATCTGGTCAATTTGCATCGTCCCATCTTCCGAGCGTTGGCAATCATTGTGCAAACACGTGGTGCTCGGGCTGGACCCAAAGTTTCTGACTGCTCGGCTTGTCGTTCTTATCGGCCCTTACTTTACTGGCTCGCAGCGTGGGGACAATAAGTGTGAGATATGTGCCGAGCTTTCGGCGGGTGCACGGAAGCTCGCTCGCTGTCCTGACAATCAGTAGCTGCTGTAGATGCAGCCCTCATGTCGCGGTAAATAACTGTTTTCTACCGAGACTCCTGCCCCTTCGCCGGGACGGGCTCTCCTGCTGCAGGTCGCACCTGGAGGGTGGGATCAGAACGCTCGTCTGTCTTGTTGTAGCTCCCGATACCTGTATTGCGGCGAGCACATTCACAACAGAGTGGCGATGTTGGTTGCAACAGACATCCACGGAAGGACGGGCTGTGGCCGAAAGATGGAACGAGAACCAGAGCAGCAGCGCGGATCCAGGGCTTCCGAAAGGTAAGAGGGCAGATCTTTGAGGGAAGAGTCCGAATTTGTCTTCTGTCTGCAACAGGAAGCTCGCACGAAGATGCCGATGTTTCGTTGCTAGGGTGGCCCAGGGGATGTCCGTCTGTCACTTGTGTGACAAACGGACGTATAAGTTATCGACGCATCTCGCTTCGTGCAAGGGTTAAGGAGTGGATCTAGGGGTCATTTCCAGACGGGCAGAGTGATGTGTGTAACTTTTGTAGGTTACTTTTTTCCCTTTGTCAGAACGAGCTAAATTAAGTTCCTCCATATCATTGGTTCGAGGAATAACTACATGTAGTTATGTCTTTTAGCGTCGATGGGGCTCTAAATTAAGATTTTCATGCAAGTTCTGTAGCGTACATCTGGTCGAGTCCATGCGTTAGATGTGGATAGTTATCCCGATCGACTGGCGAAATCCAAGAGCAAAGGATCTGGACGAGATCCTCGTTTTACTTTTGTTTGTGTGGATCTCAATCTGAGGCTTAGCTCATGTCTCATGAATCTCCCATGGCCCCGATTGCTCTGCAGATTCCAATGATTGAATCGGAGTTTTAATCTCGCGCCTGTGGAACAATGGCAATACGAGTTGTTCTGATTCTTGGAACGAGGATCGACCCATTCAGATGAGACAAATCTAGATCGGATGATCGGAGGTGAAGGGCAGTAGTCCAAAGAATCTTACAGTCCTCGTTCCATGGAGAAAATCGGACGAGGGCAGAGAGGCATGGTTGGGTGACTTGTAGCTCTCACACAGAAGCCATGGGGCTGGGACCACTAACAACCAAACGATTTAAGCCGACGGCAAGAGGAGAATTTCGAACCGAATGAGCAATAAGTCACGATCACTTATGGCATGATTCAGTCCCAGAGATTCACCATTTTGTTTAATCTCTCTTTTGGAAGGGATCAAGGCCCCACGTGGTCCAGCTAATCCACTCTACTCATATTTGGTATCAACTTGTGCTCGTTCACATGCAGGTCCTTCAGATCCCGGTGGTTAAGCTTTGGCATTTAGGTCATGGCTCCGGGTGATGATGCTGGTGTGAGACATCGCCGCTGCACAAATAGAAAAATAATCCGTAGCAGGCTGAGAACATCCGTCTTTTACTAGAGTGGCGCCGCCTTGTGGCTGCTTGTGAGATGCAAAAGCGTCCCTGGCTATGGCGTGTCGTACCTTTACAGCTGCTGGAGGATGCTCTTGATTTTTTTTCTTCCTGCAAAGCATCTGTCGTACGAATCGAATTCGATAATCTGTACTCCTAGTTGCAGTCACTGAAACTGAGGATCTCTCTCCTCCTTGAGTCTCGGTGCATGAAACGTCAAACAGACCCGGAGAAAATACGTCGGCAGTCAGATCTACTCTGTACAGGGCTCGGACCTGACGCCAGAGTCGAGATTCGAGAGTCAAAATCCCTGCAATGACTTTCTCCGTCGATTCAGAAGACTCTTGCCTTCTCGAGCTGATTCGATGCTCAAGGACGGGACTGGTCTGGCACCCGATCGTCGATCGATTTTGGGATGCCTCAGGTCTCAACCGTTTCTTCGGCGGTTTGAAGAAGCAGTTAGATAGTGGTTCGTGGAGGCCGTGGCCCGAGGCTTGTCTTCGATGGCCGAGTGACAGTGGGAGTCCTGCCCTCCCCTGCCCTGCCCTGCCTGCCTGCCTGCCTGCCTTCTACAGATCGTCTCGGCCATGAAGTCTCGGCCTGCGCTAGTTGGTTTCGTTCGAGCAATCGAACACGCTTTTCTCGACCTTTTTAGGGCATTTTCACAGATTCTTATCCTTGTGGATCTGCGTACGCATGTTGAAGGCAAGAGCTGCCCTTGGGGCCAGGGCAGTTCTCAGCTTGATGTTTAGGCTTTGCTTTCAGAGCTGCGAATTCGCTGGAGCTCGGAGTCGGACCGAGCAAACCAGTTTTCATTCGATAACAAGTCCGGTTCAAAATCCCCTGAATTTCATCGATGTGAGAGTGACGCCCTGTGGATTCATTCGTTCGTAGGGTTCCATGAACCCTTTCTCGCTGAGATTGATGTTCACGGATGTCTGATGGTGCCAATCGAGTGCACTATGAATGGTCCAAAGCAATTCAGACATAAGAAAGAGTTGAATCTTACCGCTCTTGGCCTTGGCACTCTGGAAGCTGAAAAAGATGGAAAGGTGATTTCAGCTTCAAAAGAGGTGACCTACCATCGTCGTGTTCTACGACCTTTAATCGAAATCCGATACACTCCCGCCCGCACAATATACATGGCCATCGCGCTCCAAGAATCACGACGATCACACCCTTGTGTAAGTGCGTTCTCGGTGCAGGGAGATCCAAAATCACCTGATTGAATTTTGATTGATTGATTCTCCAAGAGGAGACTCGATTGATATCAGGATACTGCGTTCTTTGTTGCCAAATACGAGTGTGGCGATGCGTGAGACTCGTGCTAATTCTTTGCATCCCTGGCTTGGAATTCGACAGGAGATTTCGATGCCTCTCGTTTGCAGATTCACGTGATAAGAGTTGGCAAGATTTCGTTCGATGGCAGGAAGGTCCATTGAGACCTTTTAGCAAATATTTTCTCTAAACGCCTAGTCCACTTCTCGTAAACTCCACCTTGAGCTTTCATGTTGACTAATTTTAATGAATCTCATGGTCAGCTCTTCCACGGGGGTCGGTTTGACGGAGGTACCGACCACTACGGAGCTCTATAACCACACGGGGACAGTTAATGTTGATCATTCATTGCCCGATGGGACATTACCTGGGCAAGATCGCCGTGTCCATGCAGTCCTCTTGCAATCAGAACGACGGGGAATGGACAGAACTTGCTGGCATGCCTCGAAGAAAAATTGCATTTATCCGAACATGAAGTCTTTGAGAACCGTGCATGAATTCGTTTCAAATTTTCTCTCAATAATCTCGATTTCCGTGCAGTAGTGCCCCATCAAGCCAACCTTGCGCACCAAACGAAATAAACTCATGATCTTCCAATAAAACTCTGCTCAATTTGATGAGATTTTCGCTCAGTTACTAATCTTTTCTCACCAAATCAGGTCGCCATCTGCTCACATCTGCCCATTATGACAGAAGCTTCGATTAACTCGAAACGATGTGCTCCGGAGAAACATCTCAAATTCCTCTAGGGTGGAATCTCAGTTCTGCTCGAGCTCGAGGATGAGTGATTTCGGGCTCTCCTGCATTGACTAGCCGACACTTTACTGAGACAGAGTTTCAGATATATTTGATCAGTGAAATCCCACAGCTGGAAAATTACTGATGTCCAGATCGAGTTATTTTCTGGAGGGTGTGGTTAGATCCTTTCACCGAAGCGGCTGAGGATGGGGCACATCCTAATGAGCACCTGGTTAGCTTAAGATTCCTGCAATGTACTTCGTGAGGTCATAAACCAACGGAGGCGTGTGCTCGAACTCAATTGTCGATAAGCAAGCAAGAAGAAATGGATAATGTGACGACGACGCCCTGCTACTGGTGAAAATTGGGGACCCGAAAAAACCTTCGCAGATTTTTTGTGAGTTCTAATGGCTATCCATCGGAAGTAAGGCATCTGCTTGAAAAAGAGGTCCCCTGAAATTTGAGTCGTAGGCGCGTGGGGACCTCGAGCCCTCCCTCCGTCCCTCCCTCGAGCCTCGAGGTAGCTCCGCATTGGTGTGCATTCTAGTCGTAGCTAGACTGTGGTCCTGGTTACCTGGAGGCTGATCTTCCCCTCCATTGGTCCACAACAGCTGACTCCCTTTACACCTACGGTACGGGTCTTGTACTCGAGAGTCCATAGCCAAACCGTGATTGCAGCAGCTACATTTTCAACACCTGAGTTTCGGCCCTCTCCATCTCATCTCGAGCACGCACTTTACACATCCCCCTCAGAGTCCCGTACTCTTCCGACCACAGCGAGGAGACGTAGCTTTCTATGGTGCTCGATGGCATGCGTCGTTCCTGTAATAAGCTCGCATCTTTTCTCGTCCACAATCCAATCAAGCAGCTGCTGCATCTGGTGGTACGAGCTGTTTCGAAAGTAATATTCTAATCTGATGCCAGCAGGTGGCAGCACGCCCAGAGACGAGAAAGTGTGGTTTTGGCTAAATTCTGCGTTTTCGAGTCAATGTAAGAAGCTGCCCGCGCCAGCTTCTTCGGTACACAGGATCTGACCATGCACTCGTCCCCAATGCTGGTCCATCATGTCCAATTGGCTTCTGGTGATTGCGAGAGCTCTGCGTCCGACTCGTCCTCTTACAGAGAGACTGAGCGACATCTCATCAGAGCGATGGAGTCGGTATATGCAGAATATGCTCGGGAGATGATTGGAGCATTGAGGGCCTGAATTGAGAATGGGCTGAATGTGCATGGACTCGTTTGTAGAGGTTCAGAGAATGTTGTTATGATTTAATAATGCGGGAAGAGGACAATGAACACGTTCTGCAGAATGATAGACTCCGGATCAAAGTCCCCCGTCTTCAGAACAAGAACATCATCAGCTGGTGATATTTCAGTCCCAGAGTGCATACTCCCGCTGAAGATATTTCTGAATCTCCGAGAAATGCATGGTGAAGACATGACATGCCAGCACCGAAATGATTGAAAGCACTTTCCTCATTTCGTCATGTCACGTCACCTCTCGATGCACAAGCATCGACTCAAATGCTCGTCCCCATGAATTCCTCTTCCATGACGTCAAATAAAGTCAGAAAATCTGGCCGAGCGAGCGCTCTCCATATCATTTCAATCGCTATGACAGGAGGATCAGATTTGGAGGATCATTTTCACGCTCATACAGAACAACGAATCAACTTTTTGAAGCCGTCTTTTGCCCAACTGCCTCCTCGTGTACATGGACATGTACAGCAATTAGAAACGAACATTAGCTGACGAATCCAATTTCTTCAGCGGTGTCTTCTCTTATATGATTGGAACGACCCGGCAACACCTTGAGTACAATAAAGGCTTGTAAAACTGAGGCTGGGAAAGACGAAGTCTACCATATTTGTGGCCGTCTTTGCCGCCACCTCAAGAGGCAAGCGACATTCAACAGATCCACTGATCGGACGTTCTGAACCTGTTATGAGTTTTGTGGAGTTCATTGCGTGGAACTTCGTTGCTCCATCTCAATCTGTTGTTTCCATTGAAATTGGGAAAGCATAATCGTATCTGACGATGTCAAGTCTCCACATACTAGACTCGAAGCTCCGCAGAACCGCGAAGACCAAATCTATCGAGCTGACTTATCGTGCTGAGGTTCGTTTGAGTCGGTTTGAATCTCTTGAATAGATTCGCTTCATGTGGAGGAGACTCTGATGACGCAATAACGCCGCATGAAGAAGACCAAGTCGTCATCTCTGAATTTCGACCTTCGTATATTCGACTTCTCATATCACGGAGGAGCAGACAAAGATTCTTTCCAATATGCTTACCATTTCTCCTCATTCTAATCATTCTAATGTCAGTGTCTTCTAGTCTGTAGGACGCCTATGCCCAAGCCTCGCAAATTTTATGAGCTTCCGGCACTGCTTACAATAGAGCAGTTTTTGCCTTGTACTTGCAAGCAGTAGTTGCAAATAGGTTTCTAAGATTTTAAAGGTTTCTGGAACGAGGTTTCCATCTCATGACCCGATTTATTCACATTCTTTTAAAACTCAGTTCCTGAGGTGATCTATGCCCACGTTTAAAATATAATTCTAAGCATTTTCATGGGACGAGAGCTTTGTACATGGAGTTCACTAATTAAAAACAGGACTATCATACTTCAAGACGGATATGCACGAGGTTTATGCATTAACAGAGTGTACAACACATGCGTATTACAAACATCTGAAACGTTCGAGTTTCTGTTATTGAACTTGTGGAGAGGTAGATTTTGTAACTACAGCCCGTGAGACCTTCCAATAGATCGTGCTTTCTTCGATCCACTTGACGCGTGCTGAAACTTTGTCAGTGTCGGACATAGTCATCGATCATTGAACACGTCGAAGGAGCACCCAATCTGATTCAAATACGTCTGCTCTGCTTTATGACTTTGTGGCATATCCCAAGCCGTATACAGCCGTAAGGGCATTATCGGTTTTTGATTCCTTGGTACTTTTAAGTATCAGCTCAGTTCAAATGCATGTACAGAATTCGAACCTGTACTAATCCTTGTGGTTTAGCGAACAAATATGAACCGGGACAAAGATCCATTGGTACTGTAAGTCAACCACGAAAAAGTACGTTGAATTCGAAGAGTGATTACTGTGCTTCCGAATCTGCTGGAAGTGATTTCAACTTGTAGCATCAACATTCAAACATGTTCAGTATCTTTTCAACAATAGTTATGGGCATTCATCTCGTCTTAGGCAGAGATGTGCTGAGGGTAATTCTCATTTGTGATGTAGCCATCGTTTGCAAATGCGCAAATGCTGTTCATGAAGTCATCAAATCTGTTCATGATTAGCATCGGCTAACTCAACTCGTTTACGCAATTTTTTGAAAAGAATCTCCGGAGATGCTCTTCGCTCTTGATGAGTTGATGTGTTGTACATGCCACAAAATGAGTGGTAGTTATTTGCACACCTTAAATATCGGAAGACAACCTGAACAAACTCCGATCTCCTGCACATCACTTTCCATGGACCTCATGTCTACTCGTGTGAAAATTCTACAATGACATTTGGAAAGCGAAGGTGAGCCCTACTCCAGCTGGAAAAAGTGTCAACCTTAACTTCCGAGACTTTTTCACCGTGCACATTAAGACGACATCATTATCTCATCCCCTCAGGAAAACAAAGAAACCGACTATGCATTCAGAGCCCATTCCGTAAATGGCATGATCCGAATCATTTCCCGGATGAAGTCAGAATCAAAATTTCTTGCTCAGCGTAGCGCTTGGATGGAAAATACTTTCCCATCGACGAACATCCTTCTTCAAAGTCCGTGGCTCTCAAGTCAACAAGGCCACTTGTTGACATCGAAGCGGTCTTCGAATTGTCTCCAAATTGGTGTGTGTCTGATCAGAGAGACATCATCGTGTGCGGACGAAGGTTGAGGAGAAGAGAGAAGGAATCTGAATCTGTGAAATGGAAGACTGTCATGATGTACGTTACAGGCTCCCGTCAAGAGAGAGCTTGTTCTAAATGGAGAATTTGTCGTGGGCCTCCGTCCAGTGACCACACTTACTGTGAACTTGCACGTATGTGAAAATGGAATTTCAATTCAGAATTTCCTTCAGCCCTTCATTTCTATCCCGTCCTTGTGGGGCTTCCCCTTCTAACTGTTGTCAATGCTCTTTTTCATCGCACTTTTCATCGTCTCCTTTTTCTCCTTTTATTAGATGTAGAGTCCTCAAGGGACTTTCATAAATACAGATAGAAAGTGCCATGAAGTTGCGCTCTCTCTGACTAGTTCGTTTGGTGAGTCAATCGGCTGGAATGCTTCCACTCATTAATATTCCACTCAGTAAATAAATATGCATTTCAGAGCAGAATTTTCCTTTGAGTGGAAAAAAATGGTCTATTTTGTTTGCTACAATTGACTCTGTCGATATATCTGCAACCATATCAGCTGTAGTACATTACTTTGTTTTGAAAACTCGAGACTTTAATAAGTCTCTTACTGCATTATACAAGACTACATATTCCTAAGATTTCAAGTTCCAGCGTATAGCTTATACAAAATTAATAAATGTTTTCCGGATATTGATATTTTCTTGTATAGGTATCTTGACCTGTTGGCGTCATATTAAGACTACAGTGACATTTCCATTTTAGTATATCCATACACTATACACATCTCACAGTCATTTAGTGTACTAAAATACTCCTTCACGAAGCTGGGTCTTGACAAATGGGTCCTAATATAGTTGGGTACTATATATTTATATATTAATTATTTTAATTGTAGGTCAAGTATGGTCTTGTGTAGACTACAAACCACTTCCCTCATTGAAAAACATAAAGCTTCCCCTGTTGGTGATGTCAACAGTTCTTCTTCAATACCAAGTTATTGCTTTCATTTGGAGCTCTTAGTACTTCTAAAGGAAGCATAAAGTGTGACATATAAAAGCTAATCCATTTAATGAATTCCTCATGCCTTCTATATATAATCAGTGATGGTATTCTGTAACCGTGTGCTTACTTTCTTCTTCACATAAGTTGGTTTAAGACTTGATTCATTGATTTTGTTATCCACATAGAGAAGTCAACATCAGAGGATTTTTGTCTTGTGTATGAAGTAGACATTGCAGTGTACAATGGGTTTAATATGTCCAATGTCCACCAAAAATTGTCCGTAAGCAAATAACAAACTCCAAAGCTATGCTTCAAGCCATAAACAATTTTCAATAACGCGAGAAGTTTGTCACTATCTAAGTTTGTAATTTTCATCACCCATCTTCAACTCTAATCTAATAACGTCTCATTTTTTCCATCCTGGCCACCACCAAACCAGCTGCTAATACCTTCCGCTCCTGGTCCTCCGCAACAACAATGCTTGACACAACTCTCCCTCTCTTCCCTATCAGAATAATAGATTTCTTGTAGAAATTACTCGTCGCGGTTCTAAATATTCTTCACTGAGCTATTGTTATTGAACTGATGTTGTAACAGGGGAGACAGACGTCCTCTTTCCTTTCATGAAGAACAGATCTAAACATCTCAAGGTATTTTCCCATCTTCTCGAGACATTGCATGCAGTAAAGTTTTTTCAAAGTTGCCAAGGATTATACTTCTTTATCACACACTACTTTCTCTCCTAGATCTCATTTATGATACTTTGTATTAGCAATTTCTTCGAAGATATTCATTGTGTGGAAAAGTCATCAAATAGATGGCATTAGAATCATGTTAAGATGATTAAAAAATGATTTCTACATCAACGCAAATGCAACATTTTAGAAACATGGTGCATCAATGACATATCTATGTTAAAATTGATGCCAACACGTTTAATGTGACTATCAAGATGCTAAAAAAGAAAGTTTTATTTTTTGAGACAAGATTTTGCTTGACTTTGTGGAATGTTTGACATCATTAGATAGAGTTTTTTTTTGGATATTTTTCGCGTCGAATGGATGACTTGAGAATTATATAAAGCATATTTCAACACCCATTGTGAATAGATGCAGGGAACATAACAGTCTCAGTGTTATGTAGGTTTGAATCAAATTCACAAAATGCTGATTGTTGTACCACTTGAATGCATTATCAACATTGACAAGTTGGCTTTACATAATTGCACAATATCATCAAGATTATACTGCACAGTCAAAATAGATGTTTTTGAAGTCAAGCGGAGCAAAAGACCAATCACAATGACGCTTAACGTTAACGCTTCTGGTGAAAAGATTATCACGCAAGTTATCACAAAAAATGCTTGTACACGTGATTTGAAGAATATTTTGTATATCAATAAGGCGTTTGGAATTATCTATAATCAACAAAGATATTTGCTTGATGGGACCCATTAAGAACATAGTTGCTTGATGGGACCCATCAAGTTTCGTTTTACCCGATGGGACCCCAACGACGGCACACGTCAGACTGTTCTAGTATGAATAGACGATGAATTTGTGAGTCGCCTAAACTACTAGATCCTCGTCTAAGTAGACACTTGAACTGTACAGTGGAAGCTGGTGGAGACACAAATCAAACTCAAAATGTACATTCTGTAGGATTGTACATATAGAATGTCTGGATTTGTGTAGGATTCTGAACGGACTAGGCGGTCTGAACACGGTGACAAGCTGGGCATTGAAAATGTGCCCGCTGGCGGTGTTCCTGAGCTTGGGCTTCAGCTCATTTTTGCTATAATGAACCACCTTCTGGGGGAATCAGGTCTTGTTGCTGGGTGCGTCCGTGGTCGAGGGCACCGAGCGGCGAGTCGCTAGGACGTTGCGCACGACGCGGCTTTTGGTTTAAGGCTTATGCGGGACTGCCTTCGGGGGGCTGCCATTGTGTTCGCCAGCCTCGAGGGCTCGTTCGACGAGAGTTGAATTGCGCCGTATTGGGGTCGATTTCCGAGCGCGGGCGCCGGTGCACCGATTCTCGAAGGCAGATTTGCAGCGCTGGGCGAGCGGGAGCGGTCGAGTAGCAGGTGTCATGCTTTGGCTTGCCGTGTCTTGTGGACAATTGGACTCTATCAGGCATCCATTATTTTGACCTGTGCACGTGTATTCGGGTCTGCTGCCGCCGTTGAGGTCTGTATCAGCGAGGGCGAGAGGGCATGACAAAGATAGAGGAATGAGACAAAGCGGGAGCTTGAAGCCTACGTTATTAGAACATTTACTAGAGCTCATCGACGGCACACCACCTGTGGACTCCCATCGGGTAAAACGAAATTTGATGGGTTCCATCAAGAAAATATCTCATAATCAACAAGCTAAAGTCTGATAGGATACATCCTTTTGTATGCGTTTGTTTCACAAGTATAACAGAATTGCCAAGAACCGCAATCGCATCTTTTATATACTTCAAGAAAATTGTTCATATCATGTTTGTGCGTTCAAAATTTTAGATCATTCCAGAATAACACAATTTTTTTTTGGATATTAGAAGCTATGTAAATTTTTTTTTCCACTAAATGCTATCAACAAATATTAAACTCTTGATAAGGAATCATTAAGTTATCAAAATGCACTTTTCTAATGCTCAACTGAATCATTTAATGTCTGAATACAAAATGTGGCAGGTGAATGAACTTGCTTCACAT